GGGGGAGAAATGACCACGAGAGGAGGGTTAATGTATTCTAATGTACAGGTGGGCTCAGAGACAAGGGTGTAAATATTAGTCTTTGTTAGAAAAGGCGTCGTCTGGATGTTTTGGTTGAACTGTTTACAGCCAGTGATTAAAAGTCAGTGTCCTCCTGCTGCCCGTGTGTAAGTGCATGAGTGTATAAGTCTGTGTGTGTGTGTGTGTGTGTGTGTGTGTGTGTGTGTGTGTGTGTGTGTGTGTGTGTGTGTGTGTGTGTGTGTGTGTGTGTGTGTGTGTGTGTGTGTGTGTGTGTGTAGACGTACGGTAGCAGCAGAGATTCCCGTGGTCTGAGCAGCGACCGGCGTGGACTTCTTGATGTTCTTAAAGCCTTCGGTGCCGCAGGACGTCCGGACCAGAGACTGACCCCCGCTCTCCGTCAGCTGGATGTGTGTGCTGGGACAAACACACGAGTCACACACTGTTTACCTCCTCACCAGTTACATATCCCCCAAAACGGACTGCATCACATCAAAGCTTATATCTGCAATGCCTTCTAGGTAATCAGACATCCTGTCATGTTCACAGCTACAGTTGGGATACCTTTGTTAGCATGTGCACTCTGATATTGGACGAGTTCATTCTGGATTTTCCCAACACGGGTATATCTGTGACATAAGATTTCCATCGTATGACAAAATAAAACCTTGATATATATTTCAGTGTTAACAAGTTTTCTTAAAATAGTTTTCTTATATTAGTTTTTTATTTTCTTTCCTTACGATGTATCGTCTTTGACTGTGTTTATGTATGCACCAAATACACCAAGGCACATTCTTTGTATGTGTATACCTACTTGGCAATAAACCTGATTCTGACTCTGCACACGTAACAGCTGATGTGTTGCATGGCTGAACACAATGAGGGCTAACCTGATAACTTAAATAAATCAAAAATGATGTCAAAACGATCTGAATCCCTGTTTTATGGTCTTTTCCACTCACTTGTTGTACGTCGCTTTTACGTGAACGATGGGTAACTCTTCGAACTTCTTGCCCCCCCATCTCAGGGACGAGTCATAGCCCGGCATCGGGGGGAAGATGCTGGAAGATTCAAAGTAGGGTTAATATCGCTGTTACATTATTATAAATGTAAACATTGTTTTTGTTATTTGGGAACACACCAGAGATACTGCAGATAGTGGTGTAATAGTAGACGGACATGTACATGTATGTAAAAGTAGGGTTAATATCACTGTTACATTTGTATCAATCAAGCGTATATAAAAGTAGATACCAAGACAAATGGTTGACTATTTATGGCTCCAATTTCCTCAGACCATGCAGATTTAACAACACAAGTTATTTGGGAAAGCACTAGAGATACTGCTGGTGTGTTTTCTGACCTGAAGTCTTTGGAGGAGGTTTTCCTGGCCTCTGTGCTGGAAGCTGCCTCCTGAAGTCTGACGGCACTGGAACAAACGGTCCGCTGCAAGGCAGTGCCTCCACATCTATAGATACACAACATTTAGACAATTATTATAGAGCAGTGTGGCTGTGGTCATCTGGACAATACGTACAATTAGGGAACAAACTACAGGTGAATGGGATGTGAAACACATTTAAACCAACAGGTATCCCAATTAAAATGTGTTTAATTGATTACTGAAATGAATTTTTTTTTTTGTGTATTACAAGTTTACGTATGTTGTTTGGTTGTATAAACAAAAAGGTAATATCTTATTAAATATGTGCTGATTTACAAAGATGTCAAGACAGATATCTGAACATTGGATAAAGCCAGGTTCAAATGCTTATTTCATTTTATCGACAAATTAGAGTCCAAGGTTTTTACAGAGGGGGTTCAGAAATATCTCTGTATCTCTTTATACTGAAAAAATAATGTCAAAAGCTATTTAAAACAAATAATAAAATAGGGATATTCATCAAACTCTGATGTAGACACTACAGGGGACAACAATTTAAACAACATATCTACAACAAAAACGTATATATATGAATATTTCACCATGAAAATGTACCAGTTGATTATTGTGATTAAGAAAATCATTGTTTATTTTTTATTAAATGTTATGTTTCAATGAATTTAAGAAAACTAGAGACTCAAAAAGACACATTTGGTCAAATAAACACCTTAATGTGTATTTCCGTCCACTAATCTGGAATGAAACGTGTTAAGGAATCAAAAAAAGCCACAAATCTAAGAATAACAAATATAACATGTAGCTTCATAACACTCAGCATGCAGCAGGCTCTATCTGAGCTAACGTTAGCCACTAGCTAAAAGTGATGCTAGTAAACCACTATATACTTACAGGGAACTTCCACTTGCATTTACGGAGGCAGCAAGCTGTCGGCATACGGTACTCACAGAACTAACTAATATACAGTTTAATTTATACATGTTTGCGACAAGTTAGCTGCAAGACAGGTAGCTACTTTACACACAACAAATGTGACATTGAAGGTACTGTACATCCAGACCAGTAAGATTTTTATTTTCTGAGGGGTGACAAGATCATGATACAGTTTATTTACTATGAAATAACGGTTTTCACGTCAAAACATGATTTAAAACTATACATTAAATATTTAAAAAATGTTTTAATAGGTAGTAAAGTACTAATAATTACATATTTAGTTTTAAAAGAGGTATAGTAATATCATCCTCCCCTATTTTTATCTTAATAGACCGTTCCGATCCCTGAACAGGATTGTGGGTAGAAGTAGAACCATGCTAGCTTCAAGTACTTGGTAAAACATCGTAAATATGAACTTCATGGTTGCTCATCATGGTGAACACTCGCTTAAGGCGCCAAAAATAGATATAAATAAGGTTATATTTTAGATAAATGAAAAAAACACTTGAAATCAGGAGCAGGTGTTAATATTTCTATCTTGATTTTTTTTCAAACCAAGAAGTTATGGTGATTAAAAATCCCTCGGCAAATCTTTTTGACAGCACCAGGATCTTTTGCACATACATTGAACATAGCAAAACAAGATGGCAGCGCCCTGCAGAAGGATGGCAGGTCGGTCTCTCCTACAGTTTCTGTCTTCTTTCAGCCGGACATCGGTCAGTAACTCGGGGTTCCGTCAGTTCTCTGTGTGTCGGGGGTCCAGGCAGGCTCAACATGTGGAGGAAATAGCTCCTTCTCCGTGGACTCTGATGGCGGCCGTGTGTCTGCAGAGACTTCCGGTCATTTCTGCGGAGAGCAACCCGATAGAGCAGCAGTTCAGAGACATGATGATCCAGGTGAGGCTTTTATAATATAATCAAGTGTTAAATCAGACTTTATTTCCACCTGGAGTAGATGCACACTACCCTGCAGTATATAAAGTCATTCAAACTAGCTGCACCTTTACCAGCTTTGAGAACACTTTAATGATAAATCATTATAAAACATATCTTATATATTATTCTGAAATGGACCAATCTGCACAACGACTACTTTTACTGTGGCTACTTCGCACTATATTTTAGATGATAATACTTTTTCTACTATTTACTTGAGGAACATTTGAAATGCAAGGACTTTTACTGCTAACAGAGTATCGTTACCACTCTGTACTTCTACTTTTTACTCAAGTACAAGATCTGAAGTACTTCTACTTTTACTCAAGTACAACATCTGAGTACTTCTCCACCCTCTGTAAATTAAAACTACCATTTGTTTTTGTATCATACTTTCAATATGACACTTTTTCATCACCTTTTATTGCATACTCTACTATACCAAAAATATGTTTATGACATACTTATAATACACACTTTTTATGAATTTGTTTGAATGATTTTTTAATGGGATACCATTCTACAATTTCTTACGGTATCATATCCACAATTTTTTTAAGGCATACCTAATACTATGACATTTACATAACAAACCTAGTACAGATGATGAGCCAGGTGTGTTTTTCTTCTGCATAAAGATGTGTGAGTATTTTAATTGAGTATTAGACAATGACAGAGTAGGGTGGAGGTCATTGAGACTCCTGGAGTTCAGAAACAGGTTATCACCAGGTAGGGTGACACCGTAACGAGGAATTTGACTTTGGGTGTCGTGGACATACATAAAGGTAAAACAAAAAACAACAAGATAGAGAACTCTTTTCAGAAAAACTGATAAATAACATTAAAAATAATAAAACATATAGTAAAATCCATATATCAGTATTTACAAATAGAAATATAATGGAATAAAATATGTGCAGTAAAAACCAGATGAGGATGTCCTCTTTATCTCCAGATGGAGCTGGAGAAGAGATTGTCTATATGCATACTATTATTAAAATGTTCATATGGTTTCATAATTGCGTCTTCATATTTTCCGACAAACAATACTTTTACATTTACACAACAGAACATTGTACAGATGAAGAGCAGGTGTGTCTTTATTCTGCATTAAGATGTGACCATCTAAATACTGTCGCACGTTTCCAGATAATAGTTATTTTATTTTAGTATTAGGACCATGACAGAGGTTTGAGAGGGTCAGAGGGTCTCCTGGAGGTTTGAGATGTTCTCTTTATCTGCAGATGGGCTGGAAAGAGCATCGCTGTCGGACCAGCGACTGCGGCTGCTGGACGGCGCTGAGAGGATATGAGCGAGATGCAGAGGCGGGCGAGTACCGACTCTGACGAAGAGGATGACCGGAGGGACCAAGGAGGATCGTGGTTGGGCCAGGACCTGGAGACTCTTAGGGAGCAGAAACTCAAGGGCTTCCAGCCGGGGCCAGGGTCTCGGTCAGGTACCGGGGGGGGGGCTCAGGATCACATGGACTTAAAGGGTTTGCCTGGATGAACTTCAAAAAGGACTTAATCCAATCCAACCTTTATTGGATACAGCACATTTAAAACAACGATTGACCAAAGTGCTGTACATCGAATACATAAGAGCCAGCATAAATACATTTAGACAAACCGATGAACAAAAATAAACTAATTTAAAGCACGAGCAATTAAAACCAATAAAAGATACTTTAGCCATAGACTGAATTTTTTTTTTTAATGTTCATCACTCGTGACTAAGGTTGCAAAGTGGCCGAAAGTTCCGGTAAGCTTTCCGGAAAGTTTCCAAGGGAAGTTAAGCTCGGGGAATTTTGGAATATTCGATGCAAAATTAAACAAAAATCCTGACATTTCAACAGATTTTTATTTTTTTTCATTATGTTTATTGACAATTATTTGTTTCCAATTGAGAACAAAAACATAGGAATGTTGAGTTAAATGTTACTCATCCCCCCAACCCCACTCTCCCCTTCTCCCTCCAAAAGTCCATTAAACATACAAATCTTCCTTCAAGCGATCTCTGCATTTTTTTACCCTTTCAGTCAACGGTCTTCCTGGGCCTCATCACAGTCACAACTCTTGCCTCTTCGCTCTTCAGGTGTCACTGTCCAGCCTTGCTTGAGGATGGCTCTGTGTCCACGCTCAAAGCAGCCTTAGGTTTGCCCGAATGCCAACAGTTGGTTCCACTCTGACATTTGTGAGCCTGTTGCGAACCTTTGTGTGGTCTCAATAGCCGTGCAGTAGCAGTGTACGACTGGCCTGGATATATCAGAGTGTACTTGAACGTTGTTTTAGTCAAGATTATGGCTAAAATATACTTCCCCAACTATATTTAAGGTTCCCTCTGAAGAGCCAACCTTCAATTTTGAAAATTCCCAGTTTATTTCCCAAAATTCCCGTGAAAGTTTCCATCTTTGACAAAATTCCCGGGAATTTTGCCAACCCGACTCTGTGACTTCACCTTCGACTTGATAAAGTGATGAATAATGAAACCTTTATTTTCCCCCTTAGGGGTAAGGAGCAGTTGGAGAAATCAAACTAATATGTAGAAAAATGAACATATCACTGATTTGATAAAGACCCGCTTAGATATCTCTATCGATATGGATCATTGATCAATATTTAAGTGACATTGAGTGCATTCAGCCAGTAAGTATACAATGATTTGATTATTCAGTTCAGAAATTGTTTCCCTTGTTTCTTGGTCTAAGTATGTTTCCCTTGTTGAAGTTTTAAATGGAGCGTATCGCGTAATCGTCTGATTTGGTAATAACCATTGTAACACAAATGTCATTTAACTCCTAGTGGCGGTGCTCTCTAGACTCAGAGGGATGAGACCCCAGCTCTCTGCAGCGCCGCCTCTCCGACTCTCTGCTGCTGCTGGTGGGAGCGCCGCCTGGAGGAAAGCTGTGGGTTCTGGCCTCAGACTGAGTGGCAGAGAGGAGGACTCTGA